TCTCCCTTTCCCTCTCTCTCTCCATGCCCGCCAAACACCCCGATGAGGATTTCGGTGTCCGTTTTTTACACCTCCCGGCTCGTTGTCAAGATCTCGATGAGCTGAGCATGTTGACATGTCGCACGACTTCCAACTCCGTCAGAATAGCTACAATCGCCGGTCGAAGTTTTGAAAACAACCAAAGCTTCCGATCGTGATATCTCCTATGTCCGACATCCAATCAAGGTGATTCCAGTTCCTATGGATTCAAAATGAAGAGACGAAGGAAATCCATCCTTTTTCACAGCTCGATTTTGGCCGGAACACCACCGTCCATGGTGGCTGGAGTTCCTGCCACCGCCGCCTTCATTCACCTCCTTCCCTGCTGCCATTTTCGACACCGCCAGTGTCAATGGACTCAGAGAAGAACGCTGAGCAAAACCCCTATGTCAATTTCACGGTCCCGCCGCCGTTTGCCTGAAAACGGAGCCACCGCCGCCGTCTGAGGAGGTAGGGGATGGTTAAGACGATCTAACCGTTGAATCGTCCTAATTTTAGTGTCAAAACACTCAGAAGGAAGTGGGTAACAAAAGCCCTCAACCAATTATGAAGTCTCATAGTAGGAAATTAAGATCAAAGTCACCAGATTTTGCCGACATTTTTGGGTTTGATCGGAGTAGATAGAGGCCGAATTGGGTGAAATTGACTGTACCATTGAACTCAGAAGGGACGATTTAGGGGGGTAGGACCAAGTTCGCTGCGGAAATATGCTCCGGCAACCTCCGCCGCTGCCAGTGACCGAATTTCGGCGAGTCTCAGTTCTCTAGGTTCCCAGCATCCGATCGAAGATCTGAGACCATATCCTGACTCATTTCGACGTGCTGAACGCATTGGTGACCTCGGTTTGTACCAATTTCACTCCATTAAAAGGTCTACCGGTACTTGCACGCAGATCGAAACGACTCGAATGGATTCGTTGAGGTTTAGAATGAGCCGTGGAGTTTAAGAATAGATAGTTGGACAGCGTGAAGTTATCCATAGACTAAATTGTCAACAGGTAGGATATTCTTGTCCATATCCATGATTTCAATGATTTTGGCCTATGAAAATATTTTAAAACAAACATGTTTAAAGAAAAATGATTTTAGAAGAAATAGCATGAATAATACTATTGAGTTTCCAATAATTTGGGAATGAGATTTTAAAGAATTTTTTTTCTTAAAATGAGATATTTTAAGAAATAATAAAACGCATGATGGGCACAGAGATCGGGATATGGGAATCGTATCCTTGGGGGCAGGTCCCGAAACCCGTACGGGCCACTTCTTGCTCAGTGGTGATATTATGGCTACTAATACGTAAGTATTTCCTTTCTTTAAAGGATAATCGGTTTCGGATGATATGTTCAAACCGTGAGCACTTTTATTTATAAAGTTTTATAAAATTATATCATATTGGGCATTCCGCTCACTTTTCCTCTGTTTTCAACGTTTTAACCTATCCCTCCAAAATTAGCAGTTTAGATTTACAGCGTGACAAGTAGATGCCAATGGATTGAAGGCGCGAGATTCAAAGCGGTACGTTTGTTTTGGATTTACAGTTTTAATTCTGAGATGTATTGTATTCATGTATATAAACTCTATTGGTCGACACTGCCTCAGAGTTGTATTATTTCAAACTTTATGGACTGTTTTAAATATTTTTTTGTAAAAAAAATACTCAGGAGCAACATATTTTAATATCTATTTTGGTATTTATATATTTTATTTTATTTTTATGAATTTTCCTTAGTTAATTTAGTTTAATTAAGTTAAATTTTAAATTAAACTCTCCATCAGAGCAACATAAACCTTTTGATTCGTGGAAAAAAAATTTTCGTTAATATTGACAAATTGTTGGTGGCTTTAGCGCATTTGCCTCACCTGGTACGCTTTTTCTAATATTTTTCCTACATTGGTATTTTTTCCTCCAATGAACATCTGTATTGAAAATAGAATATCTTATTCCTTTCCCGATTGCGTTTTTGTTTTGAAGCTGTTGAAGTCTCACCTTAATAACTTATAACATTGTTAGCATGAAAATAAATTATGTTGGTTTATGTTTCATAAATATGTAGATATGATTCGTCACACTAATTTCAAAAGTAGAAAATGTAGTTATTTGCTTCTTTCCTTTATCATTTCTTGCTGGTAATAGATGTTGTTGATAATTTTGGTTTCCTGGGAAAACAACTATGATCAGAAAGAAAAGAATATGGTGAGTATTCTGTTAAAGTATCAAAATTTTTATATTAACAAAGATAGCGAGAGACTAGATGAACTAAATGTAAATTTATTGGATTTTGGTGGTATACTACTTAATTTTCTTTAGATATTAATTTGGTGCCAAGTAATTCTAACTATTAATTTCTAAACTTTAAACATGATGATATTTTATTTCACTGAACTTTTAGTTTTTGACAATTTTGGTTCCTGATACTAAAGTTGACGAACGATTTCTGAAATTTAAAAAGATAATCATGCTTCCATCATGTAATAACTTAGTATTTTACAAAAAGAGTTACGTTATATGCAAAAAAAAAAAATTTATCTTCATTACTAATAAAACCTATTGAAAACTATAACATTTTGCACTCACTGTTACTATTTATGTATAAAATTTTCAGTTATTATATAATAAGAGTATGATTATCTACTTTAAATTTTATAAATTATTCATTAATTTTAGTGTTAGGGATAAAACTATCAAAAATAAAAAGTTTTATTTGGGGACTAATATGCCAAAATTAATAGTTTAAGGATCAAAATTGCATTATGCTCAAAATACAGGGACTAATAATGTCAATAACACTTCTGTTGTCTCTTAGGGTCCAAAACAAAAGAAAGGTAGGACAATTTTCTCAATTTACTGAAAGATTTCAGGTTATTTAGATCTCCCGCATAATCTTGGTTAATTTTTTCCATTTCAGAATGTTTATGATGTTAATATGTTGCGTTAATTTTGATGCAATCACTAAGGGGTTGTTCTTTTGTCTAAAAAACTCAAAAAAAGACAACTCGAGTTTCAACTTTATTCAAGTTCATATTTTTTTAAGTTCCAATTATATTCAACTTTACTCAACTTTATTCAAGTTACAACTTCAACTCAAGTTATAACTCAAATTCAACTCAAAAACTACACTCAAATTACACTATAAAAGAACAACCCCTAAGACTGTCATATGAGGCTGCTCCCCAGGATCAGAGCAATTGGAGGATTAGCGGAAGGATTTGAGATAGAAAGGAAGGGATGAATTCACAGAAGAAAAAGGAAAACAAAAAAAACAAAAAAAAAAAACAAATCACTCTTATTTTTTTATTTTTTTATTTTGTTTAATAGAGATTTCTTGATTGCTATCACGATTGGTGAGGGATTTTAACTCCCTCAAAGAACCTTAATTGAAAGTCATTAATTTTAGAGATTAGAGGAGGGAATTCAACCAAACGCAATAAGAAAAATATCCCCGTCATCTTTATTTTTCTCACTCTGGTTATATAAACCTTTATTTCCTTTGCATTTTATTATCCTCCTTCCAAGGCTCAAAACCACCAGACGATCATAAAGATCAAATCTTCTGTACAGTGAGACATGATTGATACTATCACACAACTTACAAAGGAGATAGCCAGATCATAGCAACATAGATTGTACGAAAACTAAGCAAAGCCTAAAACTTGTAAACTTCAGAACTTTCATTTATAGAAAGTTGAGTGAATGGTTGACAAAGTCACGAAGCTAAAAAGCAGTTCAAATTATCAACATAAAACAGATGAAGAATCCAACTGCGAGGTGCTTGAGTGCAGCTGAGAAGAACAAGTTCGGTTTAAGCACCAAGGAATTTGACCCGCTTCGGCTGTTTCGAGGGCGCTTAAGGTCATTGGCACCACCATAGATTGCCTTTGCTTTCTTAATAGAACTGAAGTGATCAACATCAACTTCATGAACTTTCCCACGCTTTCTGTCATGGTCTTGTCTACTTAATTCAGTACCAAACATACCATGTCCATCTGCAGAGATAGAAATATGTCGGATTTGGATTTAAATGATCTAAACATGGAAAAGACTATCCTCGCAAAGAGAAAAAAAAAAATGTAAAATTGTGAAATATTACAGTGCTTGAGATGTTTTCCCTGCTTAGAAGGAGAATTACTCCGCGATTTTGAAGCGAGAGCGTTTCGGCATGGAGGAGCAGCAAGGCATACAATGAAGAAGAGCCAAAAAAGAACTTTGTTCATGATCTTAGATTTTCTTCAAAACCAAGTTTTTTTTTTTTTTGTTTTTTTTTTTTCTTAGTATACAAGATTTTGATCAGAGTTAAAAGGACCATCAGAGGGGCTTGTTTTAAAGCATTTCTAAAAAGTAAACAGTAAACCATTTCAGTGTAATTTAATATTTCTTTCCATGTTTAGTCGGTGATTAAAGGAGAATCCAATAAAACCAAAGCTGACCAGGGCAATGCACTTTTGCTCTCTTTGAATGCAGAATTTATTCATGCAAAATGTGAAAGGTTTTAGCATTAACTTTTCCATGCATGTATTTACAACTTTAAGTAACCTTTGGAGTAATATATAGTAGAGGATATGCTTTCTGTGCTGCTGAATTTAAACAATTAGATTTCTCTATATCTTGCTTAAAGCAATAGGAAAAGAATAAATAACCTCTTTCATGTCAAAGGATTGATTCTCCCTCTTTAAGCATATATTATTTTTAAAACAAGATACGGTCGAATTCGGTGCTTTTCTTTTCTTGTGGAGAATTCTCAAGAAGGCTACAGATATATTCCTACTTGAGAAATTTATATAATTGATTGAGTTATTAAAATCATCAAAACCAAGCTACGAAGTTCGAATAGAAACTCCCAAATAATGTACAGTTGAAACGTTATTTTGATTTTCCTAGTAATCCAACTATCCATTTGTTTTCCTATTATTCAAGCTCTTGCACAACTGGTACTGTTTGTATCACAAGCAGAAACTTATTTCTTCTTTATTGAACTTTGATTTTAGTTGGACTTTGAGGTGCACATAAGTCAACGTCCGAATTTTATTTAGAATAAAATCTACAAGACATGAAAAGGAAAAATATCTTATTTGAAATATTATGAAATATTGTCAATATCTTGACAGATTAAGTGATCGGGTAACTTGCTTTCTAACAAATAATAAGAGAAATACTTTCTGTTATATGGAAAAATTCCACACTCCACATCAGCCGTTAGATGGCTGCCACGTGGACGCTCGCCACATGGCATTACAAGTATTAAAAGGTCGGGCCAGTAGATCGCAAGGAATCGCACCTTCCTAGAGACACCAACTCTAGACGCCGACCGTAAATAGGAGCTAAAACCCAAAAAAGTTCGACCGCATTAGGGAGTGCATCATACAGTCAACCGCTTCAAGGAGTACTAAGGTGTCGACCACACCCACGTTCACATAGCGTGACAGCTTTTCAGACATGTGGCAAGCATTAAATGCATGCAGAGTTAGTAGAGAACGTGGGAGGAATTAAATGCATGCAGAGTTAGTGGAGAATGTGAGAGACCAGTCAACTCAGTCACCAGAGGGTACTGTTATGAGAAATGACATGACCGGCTTAGAGTACAGCCTATGGAGCTAGGTGGGAAACAGATACGATGGTATATATAAAGAGGAAAGGCAGAGAGACAAGGAGGACTTTGGCTAACAAGAGAATCACAGAAAACCTCTCTTTCCTCCTCCATCATAAGAGTGAGCATTGTAATACCTCTCCAGGCAGTTCCCTGGGGAAGATTGTAATTCTTCTTAAAACGATTAGTGAAAAATACTCACAGTGGACGTAGCCCAGCATTTGGGGGTGAACCACTATAAATTCTGGTGTTCTTTCTCCCTTTTTAGCTCTAAATTACGCTTTAAACCCATGTATTAGAACTAAAGATTCATCATCACTCTGTTGACGAATTTTTACCGTCAACACTTTCCATGTTTTGTACTTGCTCCTTTTATGATTGATGTGGTTCTGTGAGATTTACTTCAAAATTCTGTCAGTTCTCTCACTCACTCCTAATCTTTCATAGGTTCTTGAGTTGTGTATTTATCGTGGTTGATCGGGCTCTGCCTTTGTAATATCCACGCACACTGTAAGCAATCAAGGACGTGGTGATGATTGTGATCATGGAGAATTGTGACTTCGAGCATGAAGATCATGTTCATAATTGCAGTATCGTGAGGCTATTTCGTGGCGAATCCTGTACCGGAGTCAAATTGGAGATTCAATTCGAAACCATTATAAACGCTTCCGCACATATACCCGATGGTATATTTTCCTTCAATTTTTAACCATAAATTTTTCAAAAATTTTTCTTGTGTTTTCATTTTATAAGAAAAATTATTAGAACTGTGTTCCCAATTAGTAGGTCAAATATATATTTGTATCTCCACTTGATTGAAAAAATATATCTTTAATTTTATTTTTTTTTTCATACTACACCCATTAAAAGAAATTCTGCCTTCGCCACTGATTTTGTCCTAAGTTCTCTGCACTCAGTGTCTCAACTAAATCTAACATGTAAAGGTTTATCAGCAAAGGCAACCATTTTTGTGTAGCGAATAAATGTTCTGCTGCAGAAGCAAGCTGGTGCTTGTCTTCAAGGAGCAGACAGATTTCAAATGTTTCTTTGTGTGCACATAAGCAAAATTCTCATGGATAACTAGTCCTTTTCTCCTTTGGTGAAAAGGAGGGTGACAACTGCTTTTCATAGTCTTCAAGCAAAATTTTGGATTCTCAGTTTGATTACAAATTGATCCTTTCCGTTCTCTTCTCTTTCCATTCTCTGTCTCTGCTGTTACTTATGAATCTAGGCGTACTAATTGCACAATCTCCAAACAAAATCTATTAGTGTGCAATGTTTTAGAAAGGAAAAAAAAAAGTGTCTGTATAAACATATTTCCAAAAGATAAAAGAAAAAAGGGGAATAAAATGGATGATGATTCAAGCATGTGCTTGCTACTTTGCCTGAAAAACGTGAGTAAAGTGTCCTCTGAAAGGTTCTTGATGAACAGGAACCAATCCTTTTAGAATCTATGATATTAAACTTGGAGGCAGGTTAATGCTCCAAAATCTTGTTTATTTGGCTAGCCAAGAGAGTCACGAGCATGAAAATATTTTGTAGGGAATCTGACTTTCCTGACGCTTTCTTTGGATTTCTGAGAAAGAACAGAATCGAAGGCTTTTTTTATTTCTGAGAAAGCAGCAAGAAATAAGTGGCTTGAGACACTTGCACGTTCTACAAGGAATTTTAGTGGAATGAACCAAATCTGAATGGCTGAATGAAATTTCGGTGGGTCATTTCACTGTCACGTCAACCCCTTCTTAGCCAGAAAAATCAAACCACGTGAAGCAATTTCGCCATACTCTCTTCATGAATTAAAATTATTTTTAATTTATTAGTATTTTTTATGAGAAAAAATACTGTAACAAATCACGAATCATAATTCGAATCAAGAAACGAATCCCTCTACCAAACATCACCACAAATCGGTGACCAACAACATGCCAGTTGTTTCTCTCGCCTAGCACTTAGCGTGCGTTTGGTTTAAGAATTTATATCATGATTTGAATCATAGTTCGTAACTCGTTACAGTATTTTCTCTCATAAAAAATACATGTAAATCGAGAATAATTCTGAATCATGATTCTGAATCTATCAACTAAATATCCTCTTGGGATTACTTCTCATTGTCCATAATGAGGCTGAAATCGTCTCTTATAATGTTAGTTACGAAAGCATAGGCCATGTTCCTTTCCGTAATATTTATGGTCCAGTACATTGCCAAGTAGCTGCTGGATTACTGATAACGTGCTTTTAAGCATCGTCGACAAAAAGTAGTGCTCTATGGTATTCTGCCTGGTAAAAGTGTAAAACTAGTACAACACGGTGCGTGGTGCTTACAGCTTAATATTTCTACCTTAATATTTATTTGTTAAAGTCTAAACATAATTGCATTTATTCTTTCAAGAAAGAATCAACGCAATCCAGCGGACTAGTCTTTGGTCCTTCACGGCTCGAGATGCTTAAAGACTAGGCTACCTCTAATATCGTATGCTAACACGTTACGGGTGGGACATAAAGAAATGGCGATCCATAAACATAAGAGTGTTCTTGTACTTTAGCTTCTTGCTCCAAAAAATGAAGACTTGGTGGAATCGCTGGCTGGGTTGGTCCAATCAAGAAAGGCATGGGAGTATAGAATGAAATGAATCCAATGCATTCTCTTGATCTTCTACCCACAAAGCAGTACACTGAACGCCAAGCCAATCTCGATTCAGAAAATAAAACTTTTATTGCTCCGCTTTTCTGTTGAGGCCTAATATCTACTCAAACTGGATCAGTGATCAACTTCTAGGTTTCTTTTGAACCTAATAGGTAAATTCCAATTAGACATCAATTGTTAAAACGACACTCAAAGATAGGGAATTTTTTACACGAACTTTTGAAGGCAAAAGAAGTTGCTCTCAACCCATGGAAAACAATCTTCTGGTGTTCTCTCTGTCTGAGGAAAGGTTCCATAGTTGTTATTGTAACAGCACTCCAAATTTAACGACTGTAGCCTTCCAAAAAATTAAAAAATAAAAATAAAAAAGGGTATGATGACTATAGAAATATATAGACATGGATTTACGACACGTGTGTATACTATTTCAATAATGACAATTAGTCTTCTGCCACATGATCGATTATACTATTCACTCCATCAGCCAAAGCAACAAAACAAGTGACAATATGAGTACATGAAGCCCAACTATGGTGCTTATTCAATCTATTAAGCGAACAAAAGCGACAAAAAAATAGAAAAAAAAAAAAAAAAAAAAACCAATACAAAAAGAGGAAAAACAAAATTGGGAAGAGAAGGAATTGGACAATCAGATACCCAGAATAGAAACAAGAAAATGAAGAATCTCCTTTTCCTAATTAGGATGGTGAACCTTATGATATAATAGGAGACAATACTATGTTAGGAAGACACCAAGGAAAAGGGACAAACAAAGAAAAACATTACGAGGAAAAGGTGGTCCACTTCTAATTGCTGATGATGTTTTTCCATGAGCTCTGGTTGCAAGTCCACCACTGCCACCACCACGTCTTTTTCTAATATAAACCCGAAGCTTTGGAGCTTCAAGTGAGGAACTAAGATCCTTGGATTTTGCTAAGAAGTTTCTTCCATGATGCAGATTTGGGTCCAAGACACCTTCATGAGCAGAACTTGGACGATATTGAGACAACAAAATCAAGAGAACAAGGGAGAAACATACTAAAAGCTTCATCTCAAGAGATATCTGCTGAGCTAAAAGGGTACGCGTTTTTCCTCTGGAGAAGGGGAATCCTGAATTTGTAGGTAAAGTTTCGGTCGCCAACAAGCTACAAGCACGGCTTTTTCATAAGAATACTATGTTGTGGATATGCGAGAGTGATTGTGGTGGGCAAATGTTACACTACTGGAAGAGTTTAATAATACCTTGACACCTAATAATGTGGGGTCAACTTTAGACGTCATTTTCTTCAGCCCTGTAATGTAGGCCACTAATAACAATGATGTTCCGTAGTGTCTCAAGACCTTTTATTACTACGACAACTACTACTATTATTATTATTATTATTATTATTATTATTATTATTATTATTATTACGAACGAGGTTGAAAGAATTTATCCATTTTAGGACAGGACAGACTCAAACAAATACTGTGTACGATTAAATGATAACTGACACTTTAAAAAAAAATTGTAACTGACAGAAACTATGGTCATCTAATCCTCGAAGGAAGAAGAAAGACCCCACGCTATGGAATAATGATAATTGATTAATAAGAATGGCCCTCCCATTATAAGAGCGAGAACAAAATATCTTTAAGCCGCCCACCAGGAAGTTTTATATATAGTTTTCTTAAACCGAAAGAGTCAAAGCCGTCAAGTTAGAAGATATAAATATTCAAAGGAGAGGAGACAATATCTCCACTTTAAGAAATATCACAAAATACTTCTGCGTTTGACTTTTCAAACAAAGTATATAGCAGAGTTAAGCTTACGCGAAAAGATAC